TAAAAATTATCTGTAATATAAAAATGATTTTCATAGTGTTAATATTTCTTTTAAAAAATGTTATTGTTTGTATTATTTACGGAAGGTTATAGTAGCATTGTCGAGCATTTACAATTGAAAGATATGTTATTAAACTAAGAGTTAGAGTTAAAAATATGAATAAAATTTTTGATTTAAAGAATAAGCACTACACACAAAGCAGTTCTAATAGACGCTGACAAAATGAACTTTCAAGTCCTATTTGAAAGAAATTTATTTAAAAAGTAGGATTGAAAATCTGAAATAAAAAGAAAAAAGCAAAAATGGTTTACACTTCTTATAAGTTAAAAATATGCAGATTTGAAAAAAAAAAAGAATAATTACAATTTTATTACCTATGATACTGCAATTTAAAATTCATTCAATATCTTATCGTTATTAATAATGATTCTATTTAACTTTAAAATCAAATTAATTTTTTAGATCACCCCCTGTATCGTTTCGCCATTGAACCTCATTATAGGTACCTTAAGCTTGTGATTCCCAAGGGTCTCCGCAAAACCCAAGGGTTCCATGAAATTGTCGCAAGGGTTCCGAAAGTTTGGACTTAATTTGACCAATTGTGATTTTTGATAAGTGGAAATGCATTTATGACTTGTTTATTTGTATTATTTTCTGTTATTTTATGAAAAAATTATGAAATTATTTAAGTTGAGTGCCGGAGAAGAAGAAAAAGCAAAATATTGAACAAATATTGAAAAGGATATGCCTTTGTAAAACAAATTGCCTTTATTTTTAACTGAATCTTCTAATCCAAAATGAAATTCAACGAGAAATTTGTTTTTATAACAACCATTATCAATTTTTATAGCAGTTCGATCTTGTTTTCATGTCAAAGCAAACTGTAGTTAAGCTTATTTTATTCATTTTCATGTTATCACACATAAACCCTAAAAACAAATTCAGAACTAATTAAATCGTCTGTTATAAAACCTAATTTTAAGACTTGTATTGATAAAACTATGAAAATTTCCAAATAATTAAGAGTCTTTCTTTGGTTAATATGTTTACAATTGCTAATCCATTTCATTTATTAAGTCGGAGGTACGCCAAACAAGGTTTGATCATTTAGAGAATCAAAGCCGAAAAAATTTGGAACCTTAAATCATAATACGGTGCAAAATTTGTTGAAAGGATAATAAACTGCTAAACTGAATTACGGATCTAACATGAGCTATATTACTGTGAATCTTAAATTTACCTCTCTCAACTTAACAACAGTCTCTATTTACGGCTATGGTGCCTGATTTGACTCGGTATTGCAGAAAAATCTCTATTTAAGGACAACAGTGTTTCTGCTTTAGGATGGGATTTTTTAACGAAATAGAATTTTTTTTAGCTTTTTAACTCAACGAAACAAGTTTTTAACTGAGGAAGCAAATTACCCATTGTAATGAAGTCGAGAAAAAACAGGGAGGATGTTTATTCAAAGGAATTTTTTCAACTGTAAATGAAAATTTCTTAACAACTGATTTCAGTGAAAGAAGCTATAAAGGGATCATTATTGTTCTTTTATGCGGGTGGAACTGCATCTACTGATGTTTTAAAAATATATAGTATTGCATCATTGTTATGAAATTATTACAAACTTACACTCGCGCGTGTTAAATAAATTCAAAATACAACGATTGCAAAACTGTGAGAGAAAATATCTTTCAAGTGTTATTGAAAAAAAAAAATGAGTTTAAGGAAGCATTCTATTTAAGAACCATTGGTCCCTTCGAAGTCTTTAAGCTAATGTTTTCTACAAAATGAAATTTAAAAATGTCGATAATAAGGTTCAAATTATCATCATATTAAGGCTGCTTTGAATTTGATCGATATTGCGATTTTACACATCCGAAATCCATAACGGAGTATATTTGAAAATATCTTTCTGCGGGATTAACCTCAAAAAAAAAGAAGAAGAAAATTACTAGTTACATTGCTTATCTCGTTCCCAGAGCTTAAATATTTTGTAATTTTTGAGAGTAAATAACTTAATTTTTAATTCTTAAATTAAAAAGTATTTATTTAATTGTTATAAAATATATCTTAGAAATTTAATTAGCAAAAAAAGAAAGCAGTATGAATTTAATTATGATGAAACTAAACATGTTTACCTAAGCTCTTTTCCAATTTTGATAAATTCAATTAAAAGAATATTTTAAATACAGAACTCCAGCAATTTTAATTTTTTGAGACTTTTTAATTCGAAATAATTTAAGCAAAATCTATACAAAAGTAAAATGCATGTTAGTTTTCTTTACGGATCTTAAACTATTTTTACAGAATAAACTTGACAATGTTTAACTGTTAGTTTGCGCCGATAATTTCATATCACAGTTAACTTTATTGGTGATTGTTACTTCTTGCGCTGTTTTGGGGGAGAACAGCAAGTTTACGACGCTTTTACGACCATTACCACTTCGTGGGTCATAGATGCAAGTGGCGAGGTTTTTCTCTTTTAACTGCTCCCGGAGATCGCTAAATAGTCAATATATTGTATCAGTGACTTATCTGAACTAGTTATTGATTCCAAAATACCTGTTACTTCCAGAAAACTGAACTTTAATTAGAAGATATTTTTGAAGTAGTTTTCAAGTATTTACTTGAGATTTAAATATTACTGCACCTCTATATTAACTTAACTAAGTTATAGTTCCTTAAGGTTTTGCTTAATTTTACTTGCATCGAGTACTTTAAAGTGCTTTAAAAAATTAGCAGCAACTTTTTTGAAAGTCGCTAGAAATTTTTACACTTACAAATAAAATTTTTTCAATTTTTTCAAAGAAAATGGGATTTTTTAACTACAGTATTGATACTTTTATAACGACCATAATACGGAGCAAATTTGCCGTAACCGTGATGCAGTGCTAAACTAAATCATTTCTTCGCTCAAACTGAGCCATAGTATTGTGTATGTTTAGAAGGTATGATAATATGGTAAATATTTTTTTACTTGATTTTAAGAAGTTCGCTAATATGGTAAATAATATTTTGATATAAGTTTAAAAACTACGATAATGTGGTAATTATTTTTTTTCTGACAAATGTAGCATCATTTTCAAAATTTTCATAAATTTTTTATTGCTACTTGAATTAAATCTTGCATCTTGTTGTATAATTTTTTATTTGTTTATTTTAGTTTCAAAAATATATTGTTATTTTAGCACAAATAGCTAAAATTTGCAAAATCTAGTAACAAAAAAAAATCTAGTCGGTTTATTTCGTTATCGATTCCCTAAGAAATGCTTGCAGGGGTTCCGGGAAATCATAACAAATAATAGGTTTGGCATTTGAAAGTGCAAATTTATGGAATAATTTCTATCAAATATTATTCCATATTAATGGAATGAGTATATTTGTAATACAGTGTAAGTCAATATATAGTTATAAAGTATATAGTCAGCATTTAAATGGAATTTAATAGATGAGATTGATATCAATACTTTAAAGAGCATTTAAAATTTTAAGAGGAAATTTTACGGAAACTTAACTTCTCGAATTATATATTTCAAATTAGCTTATTTCTAAAAGTTAAGTTGAAAGTTACAAAATTTGGTTATTATACATGATATTATTAAATTATAGATTAAATTTTGTATAAAGAGATAAACTTTGAACTTAGTATAAATTAGTTTCTGTTCTGCAGACTGTGATTTAAAAAGAAATTAATCATTGAAAATAAATTATAATCAGTCTTACAAAAGGGAGAGAAATTGCATAAAAAAGAAATTAGAAGAAAAATGAGTTAAAACCAAATTGCTCAAAGTGAAAAAAAAATGGTAAGCTAAATATTTAAATAAACATTAGACTCGAAAAAGACAAAAAAAATGTCTCAATGATTTAAAATTTTTTTTTTTAACGGGTCAAGCTCAAACTCTTACTCGATTTTTGTTTGTTTGTCCTTTATCGCAAAAAAACCAGGCAACTTCTTTTTTGCACAAATTTAAAGAGCTTGTTTTTAATAAATCAAAAGTATCAAGTCAACGGAGCAGATACAGCAGGTTTAATAAAGTTGCACATTATAAAAAATGCATTTATGCTTTTTTTTTAATAGTGAAAATTTTCGTAAAGGTTTTCAAGTATGAATTTGAAGTAAATTAAAATTGCTATATTATAAATTAAATTAATTGAAAATACACATTTTTTCAAGAATTGTACATTCTTAAATGAGATTACGCTTAATAAGTAAAATTATGGTTTATGAAAATGGTTCGAACATGAGCGGCGCTTTCTTATTGCTAACCGATATCGGATAAGAGCATGTTTTAATGCGTAATTGTATCTGTAAAATAAGTCCCAACAGAATCATTTTATTAGGCTATTTCGTAATATTTTGGTTTAATAAGTTCGATAATTTAACTCAATATTTTCGCTCTTATTCATTCAAAGAAAAACTTTGATTTTTGCCCTGTTTTTAAACCTTTCATCAGTTTAAAAGGGTTTTATATGTTGTTTATTTATTTATTTTCTTTCTAGGATAGTTTGTAATTTTGTTTTAAGTATGCTATCTCTGAATAATTTTTTAAATGTTAGCAATGTCTATAAGCGTGTCAAATTTTTTTTTAAAATATTGAAAAATTTGAGTTTGAAAAAATTAAATCGAAGCTAAAAAGAAAAAAAAATGCTCTTAAACCTCTAAGTCATGACATTTGAAATTCAAACTTCGAAAATTTTAAAATAAAAAAAAATGTTTTCAAATTCTTAGCTCATTATATAGAATTTAAAATTCAAATTTAGAAAATTTCGATGTTTTAAAGTAAAATTTTAATTTTTTAAGCGGGGTTTTGAATTGTTGATAAAAATATACTTTTTTGAAAAATATTGTTGTATGCCCAAGCAACAGAAAGTAAATGAAAAAAGTGGTATATTTTTATGATTCTTATTCGAAATTTCTATATTTTATTTTCAGGATAATTTGAAATATTTTGCTACTTTCCTTCTAAAAAATAAATTTCCCTTTTTTTTCTTTTCAGTTTCCGAGACTGTTGTAACAAACCCTTTGGAATGGACGGGGAACGTCACGGTTCGTAAGAAGCGCAAACCATACTCTAAATTCCAAACCCTGGAGCTGGAGAAAGAATTTCTCTTCAATGCCTATGTTTCAAAGCAAAAAAGATGGGAGCTGGCGCGAAATTTGAATCTGACGGAACGCCAAGTCAAAATTTGGTTCCAAAACCGGCGAATGAAAAGTAAGAAAAACAGCCAAAGGAACAGCGAAAACAACCAAAACAATAACAATACGGTGGTGAATGCCAATGGCCAGACGATAGCACAATCAGTCAAATAAATCTTAATCCATGATTTAAACAACAAACTATAAATTGTTGTTCTTCCCGATGTCATAAGGAAGGAGTTCCATTTGCAATATGTGTGTGCTGTCGAACATTGAACATTCCACATTACACCGGAAGCTGCACATACTACCGTTTGCAAACGATTATCTATAAATATGATCTGGAAATTAATCTAGTTTGTTAATGGTGTTCATTCTAAAATTTAATTTCATTCGAACATTGGAATATTGAATTTTCAACTTCAAGATGTAAAAAGAGTACAAAAAAAAGTTAAACGTTTGAAATTTGCATAAGGTTTTCGTGCAATGTATAGATTATCCAATATATTAATCTGAAAATATAATAAAATGAAAGAAAGCAGATTGGTTTTGAATAAACTAGAGTGCTATTAAATATAATTATCTACAGAACTTTTAATAAAACCACATTATTTTTGAATAAATATAATTTTTTTTGAATTTTTTAATATGTTGATTCTATATATATGTGTCATATCTGATTTCAAAATATTTATATAAAGCAAATTAATTTTTTTCAAGTTTTTTTCAACTTTAATTGTTAAGTTTTATAGCAAATTTATATTTACGTTTAATAGTTTTCAAGTTGAGGAATTATTGTTGTTTTAATGTTCTATTTTTAAGACATGTGATTTCAAAATCAGCTTAATCCATTTTCAAATATGTAACTGAATACACACACTGAATAAAAAAAAAAAAAATGGTATTTATGTAAAGATTTGAACTAAAGCATGCTTTTCAATGAAACTTAATTATATGATTGTTTTAAAATAGTTTTAATTTGCAAAAACATTTTAGTTTTTGAACACAATAAAATTAATTAAGGTTTAACAGGAAATAATCTGTTAATTATGACAGGCATGTTGAATGCAACTCACATTATATTGATGGAGTATAAAAATTAAATTTTTTATTAAATTTGTCATTAAATTAAATTAAATTTAAATTATTACTGTCAATGAGTAAAATATTGGTATTTGACAGATAGACCAGTCATTGTATAGAGTACCTGGACATTTAAGCAAAGTATGAAACACGAAAATTGTTATACAGAGTGTTCTGTGAGGACCACTTTTAATCTGTATTTTTAAAATTTTTATCAAAAGCTTAAAACTAAAAATTATGCACATGGGAGTCAGAAATTAAAATTTAAGTGAGGAGAAATTAAAACGTTTATGAAATCTGGCAAACTTTATTAGACATGAGCAAATGTAATACGCATAAAAAAGCTTTGATTGAAGGTTGAAGCTTGAAAGCTTATAACCATCTTTCACCTTTTTAGAACACTCTGCATACTTTGTCTAGTCATTATTTAGAATGCCTTGGAATAAGTGCTTGATATGTAAAATGCTTGTTAAGCAAAATTAGAAATAAGAGAGTTCTTATATATTTTGCCTATGTTATATTTAACTATAGTTTTTTTTATTTTTTTTAATTTTTTTTTATCATTCTACAGAATGCTTGCATATTGTGGGAAATATTCATACTTAGCCATTCAATTTTTGGCATTCTATACAATGACTAGGGTTTGCTATTGACTATCCTATTAAATTAATTAAAGGTAACATAAATTTAAACAGTATTCCGGGTTTTAAAAAAAGGAAAGTAAGGAAAAGAACTAAAGAAATTTAGAGAAATAATCAAAATTATCAGAATTTCTGATGTACGCTTAAAAATTCGAAATATAAACTAAAAGAAAGCCTGAAATTTCAATAAAAAATCATAACATTGAATTAAGCTGGCATTAATATCAAAGATTTGGTTTGGATCTAATTCTTAAATCGCTGACAATTTCCGCCAATAAAAACTGTCATCATTTTTTGCGTAAGTTTTTTCTGACAAAATTAGGCATTTCTTAAGAGAATTTATATTACAAACATTAAATAAAATTGTTAATTATCTCCTTATGTTAAAACATATCAATTTAATTTAATGAATAAATCCGTTTATTCTAAATCTAGAATAACTATTTAAAATTTATTGTCGAAATAAAATTTAAAACAATTTAAGCACCATTTTCGTTCAAAATATACCGTCTGGAAATCACGAGATGTGCTATCAGTGGAGGTTTATCTCGCGATTTCCAAATAGTATTTTATCCATGAAATCATGCAAATTAAAAGCTGGCGGTATACATAGATACTGATTAATTGTTCTTATTGTAAATTGTTCTTAGTTATATTTATTTCATTTCTTTGAAGAATAGTCGTAGATTTGAAATACGATATTTCACGATTGGAATTTGTAACATAGCCTAGAATTAGAAGTTGAATGTCGCGCGGAAAGTGCAACATTCTTTCATTTTCTATGTACCTTGTATTTGCTTCAGTATGTACATATTTTCGTTATTTGTTGCATAGTTATGTACATTGCAAAATTATTGTTTTCTATTTTATTAATGTTTTCTCAGAGTTTTGTTTAATAAAATCCGAAAGAGGCAGCCAATGGGGTATTTTAGTGGTAGAAGTTTCGTTAAATAAATATATTTTAACGAAGCAAATTCAAATAAAGCGAATCTCAAATTGAATTTAATTTTTAATATATATTAGGTAATTTATATTAAGTTAATTTAATTTGTAATATTTAATTTTAGTTTATAATAAATTGGATTTAAAGAAATTTGAATTCTAATTTCAGATACAGTTAAATTCTAGTTTAAACAGAGTTTAAGTTAAATGGAATTTAAATTGAATTTATTATGAATCAGATTATAAAATTAAATTAAATTTGAATTAAACTTAAATTTGTTAAAAATAAGACAAAACATGTAATGCTTTATCCATTTTGATAGTTATAGAAAACATTTATTTATAAGTTTCAAATTCATTTTTTTTTCCATTATTGTAAAAATTCACAGGAGAAAAAATATATCTAACTCGATCAATAATTTTAGTACTTTAAGGCATAAGGAAAAAATGTTTTGTTTCCATGGAATCATTTAGTTTAAATTTTCAAAATAATTATTAATTTAAAAAATCTGTTTCTACGAAGTAATATTAATGAATATGTAATATTAGTATTATTAATACTAATACTAATATGCAAGTGTAAGATATAGTCAAACAATGTCTAAGTATTAAATACAGAAAATAAAAATATTATATTGTCCGAAAATTAGGAAATATATTGATTTGGTAAAGTACTGAATCACTTCATTGGCTGCTTCGGATTTCAAGCTTCATGTTCCATTGTAAATATATATATAAATATATCGTTATCATGATTTGTGTCTGTGTTTTAGGAATAAATGTTACTGTCACCACTATTGTACTTTTGTTTTTTATTTTGTTTAGACACTGTGTGAATTAAAACTCGAATTGAAGTAATTTTTTTTCTTTCCCCCCCCCCCGAAAAAAACGTCAGTAAAAATTATTAATTGTATTAAGTGTTACTAACATAGCCTTTTAAAGAAAAATAATTGTTTGTTTTTAATTATCAAGGTAATAATAATCGTATTCAACTAAAAGAACACTGGATAAAGTAAAACTTTAAAAAAAAAGTTTCATTTCATAAACGATTCCTAATCCAGGAAACCAAGATGTTGAAGCTATTCAGTTTCTAATGCACAGCCATTGCGTACTTACATTCAAAAACAAGTCAAATATGTGTCTCATAACTCAGAGCTTTCCGAACAAACAAGTCAGTTTAAGGCCAAAGCGTTGCAGCCCCAAACCTCCACCTGTTTTGCAGGCTGAGTTCGACCCTTTTGTATCGTTTCTCGTAAATTCCGATTTAGCCGGTTAAAAGTTGACACAAGTAATGGTCCTCAGAGTTCGGGTCCTTTTCTAAGTTACCTAATAGATAACATTGAGCGACAGAGTGCTGAATAAAAGCATCTATGGCAAAAAGCCCCGGTCTGTGGTTCTTATTGTTGTTCCGTTTTGTATTGTTAGCTTGGACTTACCATAACGCGTGTCTGATTTAAATGTGGGGGATTTGGTTTGAATTAAAAATATTTAATTATAGATCTTTTATTATCAAATGTTGCCATTGATAGTAGTTCAATGAAATTATGAGTAATTTTAATTCGTGATGAATTCGGCATGATGATTATTCAATAGTTTTCTCATTGAGAGTAACTCTAATATAAGTCTTTAAAAATATAAAATTCGGGATATCGAGTCAAAATATCGATGTAAAAAGAACATATTGAATTATAGATAAACTTCTAGTCATTTATAGTCATTTTACTGTTAAATTAAAGAGAAGATGTTTCGGAAAACTTGGTAGGATTAATGGGAAAAATTGAATTGAGATCTGTTTCTAGTAACTTTGCGTCATTTATTATATTTAATGTCATTATTATAATTTTTTTAATGGTTTAGAAAAATTCATGCGATAAATAAAATAGATTTAATTAATGATCAATTTATAGTAATTTTTTTTTAATGATAGAGATTTCATTTTTTTCATATAATGATTCAGGAATGAATTATTTAAATAAATTTCTGGTCAATCTCTGTAATAGTTTCGAAAATTCTTTTTTCTTTTTGTCTTTGTGTTTAAATCTTTTGACATCTTAATGACTCTATATTTTAAGTTTATATACTTATCATTTCATAAATTTCATTTAAATTAGTTGAAAAAACAATTAAAAATTTTGTAATGACATATTTTCAATTTTTCTTTGATTGATTTATGGTTAGAGAGCCGCATACTGATAACTCTAGGATTGCGTTTGGGTCTTCGAACCACAGGCTGTGAACCTCTAAAATAAAAAAAAAAGTAGTCAAATGATCTTAATAAAAATTATGATAATTTTTATTTATTTTAAAAAAAGTCCAAATTACTGTATCTCCCATACGAAAACAACACTTTCTAATACGCAACTATGCAACACCATCAGTGTAAAGATTTAAAAAAAAATTAAAATTATATTTTTTGAACCATTTTAAAGTGAAGTAATTTCGTTTAAGTTTCGGAATGGATAGTTTGAATTACTTTATTTTTAAAAAAATATGGCACACGATAAGGAAAAAAATAAAAACTTCTTTTCTATCCCAAAGTTATGTATAAGCGAAGACACGCTAATATAATAGATTCTCGATTATCCGCTTATCAATTTTTCGACCCACTTGATCATCCGGCATTTCATCATGTTTGTCTATATTCGGTTGATAATAATTGTTTCATTAAATTATTTTTTTAGCAACTTGCTATACAGTAAAGATAGCTCGTAAACCATTAAAATTCAAACAGTGAAAAAAAGTCTATCCTTTCGATTTGTACTCTCCTATTTGTAAGAGGTGAAAAGTTGATGCGTTGGTCATCAGGTGTTAGGTTTTGGTAGGAGGATAAAAAGGGGATAGCTGAAGAATGAGAATTCTTAAATGTTGCCATCTTAATATCGTTTAGCTTAAATACTGCTAGCTACTTAGTTATTGTTTACAATCTCCCATATAAAATCAACACTTTCTAATACGCAACTATGCAACACCATCAATGTAAATATTTCAATAAATTAAAGTAATATTTTTTGAACCATTTTTAAGTGAAGTAATTTTGTTTAAGTTCTGGTATAGTTAGATTGAATTATTTTGTTGTTGAAAAATATGGCACACGATAAGAAGGAAAAGAAAAACCTCTTTTCTATCGCAAAACTATAAGCGAAGACACGCTAATATACGAAGACACGATTCTCGATTATTCGCCTATCGATTTTATGATCCACTTGATCACCCGGTATTTCATCCGGTCTGTTTATATTCGGTTGATACTAATAGCTTCATTAAATTATAATTTTTTTTTGTTATAGTTTATTAAAGATAGCTCAGCTCAAAAACCATTAAAATTCAGACTCTTTCTCTCCTTTTTCTTATTTTTTTATTTTTAAAAAATTTTTTTTTACGCTGAATTGATTGAGATCAAATTGGAGAGTTAAGATGAATTATTTAGAATTAATATTGGTTTTATATACCAAAAACCAGTGTTGCTTCTATATATTTGACTTTTTACCCATTTACACCTTTATTGTTATTCTGAGCTGGGTAGTATGGTTCCTCTTTACCCTCCCCTTCCTTCTACACTCTCTCCATCAAAACCCGATGTGTTATTTACTAAAAAGTGGGTACTCTGGGTAGAACCATTTTTGTTGTTGTCAGGTTTAAACCCTATCTTCACAGTACTATTATGCTGTTATCACAATAAGATTTTTAAATAATGAAAATCTAGATCGCCTATCATCGCTCCTTTCTTAAAGTGTCTCGCTACATTGTTAATATAGCTTGATAATCGATTGTCTCTATATATTGTCTAAGATTCATTTAACAAACATACTTTTCGTTTCCTAGACTCTATAGGCCCTATACACTATGATTATTCACAAGTTTAGAGCTCAAAAAAAGAAGTTGAACCGTGAATAAGTTTTGGAGCAATAATCAAATTCAGACATTTCCTTAAGTATAAAAATTAATTAGTGTAGATGATATTTTGGGAAATGAAATTTGAAAGAGAAATTTATTTTATTTAGCAATATTTTTTAATGAATTCTAATTTAGATCAATACAGTCCGGAATAAGAGGCTTAAATAGTTATTTTAAATCATTTGTAATATTTTTTTGGTGCGGTTACAATATTCGAATATCCGAAAATAATTAGAGACAAGCAATAATAGTTTTTAACAAATGTTTACAAATTTATATTGTTTAATTTTATAAGGACCAAAAAGCTCCAAACTTTAGTTATTTATTATTGTTATTTTCTTCTTAAATTTTAGATGAAGTTCGAATTGTGGAAAAAAATGGGACGATTAGTTGCCGAGAAAAGGAAGCTAAAAATATGATTTCTTCAGAAATTTTACTACTCAAAACTAATTTGACTGATTTAGTTCAGAATATGGACTTTATTATCCCAAAAAAAAAGTATGATTCTAGATTATATGAGAATTTGTGTACATGAATATTCAAAAATTTTATCATTACTATAGAAAATTTTTGTCTGATTTTTCATTATGCATGCAGCAATTTCTTGTAGTTTGTTTCTATTATTGCGTTTAATTTAGGACCTTATTTTGTCCAATTAACTTTTTGAAATAATTATAACTGCAAAAATTATAATTAATTTCTTAAATTTTTAAGTAAATTGGATACACACTGACGGAATTTTGACTTTTCGTAAAATATTAAAGAGAACATTACGAAACTTAATATTATTTTTACATACGAATTTTACATCCCTATTTACGCACGTTTAGTTTGGCAAAATTCATCTCCTTATTAATTAATTGATTTGAATGTAGCCTAAAATATGAAGATTAATGATTAAATGGTTAATTAAAAAAATATAGATAACGTTGTCAAATGTTATGGGTTCCATTAGTTCACTGAGAGAACTACTTTTTTTCTTCTAAATAATTAGTATTGACTTGAGTTTCTATTATATTTGTGCATACCATGTAAATTTCAAAATCAGGAGCAACAAAGT